CGTTGATTCCTACGCAGTCCTCAAGATCGATACTCGGGAAATTTTCCTTTATTACTATATCGGTAAAAATAGTACACTTGCTATTTTATCGATCAACAATCCTAGTGCAGGTTCATTTTTCAGGTATCAAATGATTCTCTTTGTAGCAAGAAGATGAATATGAGATGACCTCACAAGATGTTGGCTTAACCTGCAAATGGAGAAAACGATATCAGGTCGAGAATGCGTTAAATAGAGTAATTTACCTATGATGTTGCGAAAAGTAGAAGAGTCTTGCAATGGGGAAGCGACAGGGTCATCAAGTTTATAGCTAGGGTCCATAGGGGTGGATGCAGGTTCGGCACCCAATAAACCAATATCTTGTAGTAGGTCTAGGCAATACTTGTGTTGGCAGAGGGAGATCCCTGTTGATGAGTAAGTTATTTCGAAGCCTAGGAAATAACACAAGTGGCCAAGATCTTTGGTGATGAAATGTTTGTCCATGAGGTGCTTGATGTGATTAATTTCAGAGATAGAGGTACCTGCAATAATTAAATCATCCATATAGACTAATATCATAGTGAAACAGTTAGATGCATATTTAGTAAAAAGGGAATAATTTGACTTGGATTGAGAGAATCCAATGCTAAGAAGTGTCTGAGTCAACTTGTGATTCCATTTCCTGCTGGCCTGTTTAAGGCCATAAAGGGATTTATTTAGTTTGTAGACCAAATTTGATGGAACATCGAGGCCAGATGGAGGTGTCATATAGACCCCTTCATCGAGGTCGCCATGAAGAAAATTCATGTTAATATCTAATTGGTGGAGATTCCATTTGGAAGAAATAGCTATAGATTACAAAAGTCGTATGGTTGTCATTTTGATGACAGTACTAAACGTTTCTAGATAATTAAGGCCTTCAGTTTGATGAAAACCTTTGGAAACAAGTCGTGCCTTATATCTCTCAATAGTGCCATTGGGAAAATATTTAAGTTAAAAAATCCATTTACACCTAATAGCTTTTTTGTTGGGAGGTAAAGGAGTGATGTCCCAAGTGTTGGTACTAATGAGATATTTAAGTTCAGTTTGTATAGCTCGGTGCCAATGAGGGTTCTTGATGGAATAAGCATAGGTAGTAGGTTATTTAATAGAAGAAATATTTAAGTTAAATAATCTATGTGTTTGAGATAAATTAGAGTAGGATATGTAATGAGAAATAGGATAAGGATTCATACCTGAATTAGTTGAAGGAGAGGGAGGGGAAAGTACCTTGAAGAAGAGAGCAGTGATAATCCTACAAATAAGAGGGTTGTCTAGAAATTATGGTGGATTTTATAACAACAATAAGAGGTTCTGCAGTAGGTTCAAGTGCATAATTAGGTGTGCTAAGAGATGCAGAGGGTGGTGTATGAGGACTGGGAGAGTTGGAGGGGAGTTTAGGTAAAGGATCACTGGGAGGGACAGGCTAAATAGTTTGTGGTGTATAGTCTAAAAAATCATCTTGGTGAGGATGATGAATATGTTGAGGGGTTTGATAGGGTGTGAGAGTTAGAGTAGTGTAAAGGAAAATGTGCTCATAGAAGATGGTGTCCCTATAAATGAAAATATTTATAGTTTTGGTGTTGTTGAGGATGGAGCCTTTAACACCATTCTTAAAGCCTAGGAAGATGCATTTATGGAATTTGGTGTCAATTTTTGTCCTATGGGTGGTAGTACTACAAGCATACACAAGCAACCAAATGTCTTAATGATAGAATAATCAGGAACAAAGTTATATAGCAATGTAAAAGGACATTTGTACGACAATAATTTAGCAGGAAGCCTATTTATAATACTAACAACAAAAGACAAAGCATAAAACCAAATTTTTTTATGAATATTAGATTGGAACAGAAGGGCACGAGTAACACCTAAAAGGTGTTGGTGTTTGCGTTCAACAAGCCCATTCTGTTGGGGTGTATAAACACATGAGGTTTGATGGTTGATGCCTTGAGTTGAGTAAAAATATTTTTAAAAGAACTCAGGCCCATTATCAGACCTTATGGTTTTGATAGTAGTCTTAAACTGAGTTTGAACCATTTTTACAAAAGACTTAATAAGAGAGGAAGTTTCAGACTTAGATTTCATCAAAAAAAAATCCAGCAATATCTAGTTCAATAATCAATCACACTTAAAAAATTTATGAACAAGTATAGAAGGGCATGAAATAGGGCCTCAAATATCCATATGTATAATGTCAAGGCAGTGTTGAGTAATGGTTTTGCTAGTAGAAAAGGTAACCATTTTTGTTTAGCTTTGAAGCAAGTATCACATGGGTTAGCATAATGATGTAAATTTGCTAAAGGAAACTATTTATTAATTTAAGTAAGAGTTTCATAAGAAGGGTGACCAAGCCTATTGTGCCACAAAGCATAATTATTGATATTGGGAGAGGGAGATGGGGAAGGGGATGTCAAGGTGTAAAGGCAGTAAAAATGAAAGCACAGTTTAAAGAATTAGATAGTTTACAAACAAAAATAAGATTAGTGTAAAATGAAGGAATGTATAGGACATCATGTAAATAGAAGGAGTCATTGAAGTGAATAGAACCTAAAAAGTTAGTGGTAATGAAGGTTCCATTAGGAAGCCTTACAACAATTGGTTTAATAGGGTTAAGGCTAGTAAACAAAGACTTAGAGTGGCATACATGGTTTGTAGCCCCTGTGTCAAGCAACCATTCAGAGTTAGTGATGCCATTAAGATTATGGACACAACGATTACCTGAATGTAGAGAAGGGACTGAGTGAAGATGTTGAATGTTTGGCTCAGGAGATGCAGTTGTCTGTTAAAAAAGAGCAAGCAAGGTCTGTTGTTGTTTAGTGGTGAAGCAAATGGTGTCTGGAGCAGGTTCAGGTTGGCCAGCAGCTGAAGTGTCAAGCTGAGCATCATCATGAGAGGTTTGAGCCAAATTGGTCTTCTTGAAATATGGAGGTAGAGCATATTTCTTGAAACACACCTCATTGGTGTGACCTGGTTTATTGCAATAAGTACAGATTTTGACGCCCTTGGATTTTGAAGTGTTTGAGGGTTTAATTCCATAATCAGTAGGTCTACCTCTTATGTAAGGTTTTTGAACTTGGGCAATGAGTTTATCATCCGGAGTGGGAGAAGAAAGTTGGCGTTCTTGTTGGATAAGGAGGGAGAAACTCTGTCGACATTGGGATGGGGGTCATGAGCATGATTTGCGCACGGACTCGAGCATATTGGTCATTGAGACCTTTCAAGAATTGAATGACATAGTCATTGTCTTTGTAGGTTTTGATCGTGGAAAGAGGTTCACAGTGGCAGATGGGGTCACAAGTGCAACTAGGAAGGGGTCTAAAATTGTCAAATTCTTGCCATAGTTTCTTCAATGTGGTGAAGTATTAAGTGATTAATTGATCTCCTTTCTTCTGAGCATAAATATCTTCTTGAAGATTAGAAATGTGAAACATATCACCTTGATAATAATGTTCGTGAAGCTCATCCCATATATCCTTGGTCAAATCCATCCAAAGAATGCTCTTAGAAATTTCTTTTTTGATGGAATTGGTTATCCAAGCCATCACCATGTTGTTGTAGCGACACCAGAAGACATAGTTTGGATGAGTGGTAGAAGGGCGAGCTAGAGTTCCATCGATGAACCCTAGTTTTTACTTGGACATGATAGCCAATTTCAGGGAACATGACCAAGAATGAAAGTTGTTGTTCAACGACAGTGAAACAATTGCTAAACCTGGATTATCGCTTGGATGTATAAAGAAAGGGTCAAACATATCTTGTTTATAGGAACGGGTTGTGGAGTTATTGGAATTGGACTATAATTCATAGGACAATTTTGATGGTGAAGGGGGATCAACAAATGAATCAGCCATGGTAGAATGATGAACAAGAACAACAAGAAAGGAGAAGATGGAAAAAAAATGGAAGAAGGGGAGAAAAAAATGAAGAAGACAAAAGAAAGGGAGAGAAAACGATGGATGAGGAGAAAGACAAATCTGGGGAAAACGAAAGGAAGAAGAAAAATCGTGAGGTGCAATCAGAAGGGAACACGTGAAAAGGTGCAGGCGGAAGAGATAAGTATAAAACAAAGGGTGAGAAAAGGGAATCAGAGCAATCTCAGTGCTCTTGATACCATGTTAACATGTGTGTAGTGCATCATCCAAAAGGATAAGAAATGCAAAACGAATATTATTATTATAAAAAGTTGTTTTACATCAATCTGATAGGCCTATTAAATAGATAAGGAATAAAACTGCAAAACGACAAAAAAGGAGAAGAAAAAGGTAACAGTTGGTAGAAAAAAAGAGTGACAAAAATAATTACTTGGACTTTGTAATATTAGGCTCTTGTACTTCAACATTAGGACCATGTTAACAGGGAGAAGTAGGAATGCCATTTTTATAAGATCGTATGTCATGTTTCTTTTTAGTATATATATATATATATATATATATATATATATATATATATATATATATATATATATATATATATATATATATATATATATATATATATATATATATATATATATATATATATATATATATATATATATATATATATATATATATATATATATATATATATATATATATATTTGTTGTATGGTTAAAAAATATATTTTAAAGATTGATTTTTTTTAATTTAGATTATAATTTTATTTAAAAGTTCTTAAATATTTTATAAATAAAATATTGGGTGATATTTCTCGATTGATAAGTGTTAGTTCCAATCCTTGACAAATAGAAATAACTTTTTTAAAAAAATAGTAAAAGTAATACAAATGTTCAAATCTCATCATTAATTAAAACTTACTTTAATTTTATTTTAAAAAGTTAAATCATCTTTACTTTTCAAAAAAATCAGAAAATTGTAGAGGATTAGAAAATCTCTTTGACTACATCATATAATAATTGAAATTGAACTCTCATCATTCTCCTTGGAGATGAGATACCAAGAACACACTTTTCTCATTCCTCCTACCTCCAATTTCTCAAATGCCTCCTAATATCCGTCTAACTCCATCCCATCGCCGTCCCCTATCTTTCCCCGCCGTACACCCCTGCGAATCCATATCTCCGGCCACCATCCTCACTTCATTAATCACTCTCTCCCAAAACATATCCACTTTCCAACCAAACTCCTTCCCCACTCAAAAACGAAACTCCCGAGAAACAAAACGCCAAATCCAAATCCTTCTCATATTCTTCCAAGAACTCCAATCCCATGGCTCTCCCATCCCAAAACCAATCATTCCCATCTTCTCTAACCTTCACTTCACCCTCCAAAAAATCCATTTCTTATTCCAAGACTGTTCCCTCCAAAACGCACGCCTATGGTTACTCATCAAATCCCAATTCATAGCCACACAGTTTCATCTCCTTGTTCGTTCCGTGGCAGAATCTCTCGACGCGTTACCCCTCAACCTCATCGACGTATGCGACGAGGTTAAAGAGGTAATTCAATTACTAACAGAACAAAATAGAACAATCAATCTCTCACTAGACCATAACGACGAACGCGAAAACAAACGCGTCATTTCAATTCTGAATCAATTTGAAAAAGGAACAGAACCGGACGTGGATTCCATCAAACAAGTCCTCCACTACCTTGAAATCAAAACGTGGTTAGATTGCAACGAAGAGATCAAATTCCTCCAACACGAAATAGAATTTGAACAAGAACATGAACTAGAACAAGAGAAAGAGGTTTCTCAATTGAGTGGTTTGAAATGTTTTTTATGCTACTGTCGGGTGGTTCTTTTCGAAACTATAGATTTTCAATCGATAACTCGTAACAGATCCGAAACCAGGTGCAGGCGCAGCATACAGATGTCAACCTGCGTACCAGATGATTACCGCTGTCCAATTTCACTAGAGTTAATGACAGATCCTGTAACCGTATCTACCGGCCAAACATACAACAGAGCTTCCATTCAACAATGGTTTGAAGCAGGAAACATAACCTGTCCGAAAACAGGTGAAAAACTGGTTTCCACAGAGGTTTTCCCCAACACAGCTCTCAAAACAATTATCCAAAAATTCTGTTACAATAACAGAATTTCAATTTCACCAACTAAATCCCATGTCGGCATAGCTGTAACCACAGTTAATCCGGGCAGTCCTGCAGCAGCGCACGCGATACAGTTTACTTCGTGGTCACTCGCTCAGAGACTAGTTTTCGGAACAGATGAACAGAAAAACAAAGCGGCTTACGAGATTGGATTACTGGCGAAATCAAACATTTTCAATACTGCATGTTTGATTGAGATGGGGACCGTGCCACCGTTGATTGATCATATTTTAACTTCAGCAACGCAGGAGAATGCGATTTTTGCTCTTTTGAAACTTTCAAAGCATAGCAACGGCCGCGAAGTAATCATGGAGAGTCGGGGCTTAAATTCTATAGTTACTGTTCTCATCAGAGGTTATAGTTTAGAAGCGCGCAGATTTGCGGCTGGTATAATATTTTATCTCACTTCAGTGAAAGAATACAGAAAAATAATAGGTGAAAGTTCAAAGGCGGTTTCTGGTTTAGTGGAATTGATAAAGAAAGGAACAATTCGAGGAAAAAAGTGTGCAGTGGATGCGATTTTCGGGTTGTTACTACTTCCTAAGAATCATTCTAAAGTTCTTGCTTCTGGTGCTGTTCCTGCTATTGTTAGTGTTCTGGATTCTTGGGAGAAATCTTATGTTGTTAGTGATTGTTTAGCGGTTTTGGTAGCTTTGGCAGAGAATGTGGACGGTTCTCGTGCTGTATTAGAAGCTTCGGGTTTGTCTTTGGTGGTTGGGATTTTGCAATCTCCAACTTCACGTGCTGAGAAGGAGTACTGTATTTCCATTTTGGTTTCACTGTGTACTAACATTGGTGATGACATTGTTAGTGTTCTGGTGAAGGATGGTTCTGTGATTATGCCTTTGCTTTACGCGATTCTTACGGATGGTACTCCTCTAGCGGAAAAGAAAGCACGGAAACTTATCAATGTGTTACAAGAATTTGATGAGAAGAAAACTTTGGGCACTTCTGTTTTGCACCAAAGATTGCTTCAGTTGAATTAGTTAGTTTGAACCTTCTTTCTTTTTCTCTATGTAGATAAGTATAGAATCATACATCTGGTATATTAGTTCTTATTTATTGTAAAAATTACAGTTAGATTAGCTTCAGCTTTTCCTACACTTAAATTTTGGAAAAAATCTAAAACTAGTTGAAGAGGATGCAAAAATTATCACCTGAGGTTCCGTTTATTTGGCTTTGATACTACACATTTTCAAAAGAACTTACTACATTGGTGAATTAAAATCAATCTTTTTAAATTTTAAGCGAAAGACAATCTCACAGATGTTGGATCATGTGGGTGTTGCGTTGCTTCAACTACAAGGATGATCATTTTTAAGGTATTAAGTAGTATTTCGTTTAGATAGATGGTAAGTTCAGAAGGAAATCTCATTTGACCAGATGGAGTGTTGCTAGAATATGTATTTTTTGTCCTATTTATAGTAGAACGCAAGATTAGTATTTAGAGTTATCTTGATTAAAGTCATTGCTAGCGAAAGTTGGAAAACAGAGTGTGTGTGACACAATTAACTAATCTTGGATTGAGCTGAAACCCAACATCGAAAGAGTTGCCTATCATAATGCCTTTTCTTCGTGAGTAGTTGTTGAAACATTGAAAGCCTTTTGGCAAGTGAAGGATGGTACCAATTGGCAATTGGCAGAGGATTCTATGAATTATCTTTATTATTATTATTAGATTTACAAAGTATTTGGACCGCTGGCACGTGGAGTTTTAAATTGGGTGTTGTACTTGTGGTAAGTATAATAAAGGATGTTCTGTATGTGATGAGATGTCCAAGAGGATTTTTGAGTTATGATTTCTAACAAAGTGAATGCATGTCTTAATTGTATAGATTTGATTATTTATTGATTAAGTATCTTTATCAAGTAGTTGTGAGATATTGGATCGAACTTTAGAGTTGTTGATTGAGATGTGTCAATTGGGATAACTTTCATGATTCGATAGGAGATAAGCATGAAGTCAAAGATTGTTCACATGCTAATGTCGAAATGGTTACATATTGTAGTCAAAGTCAGTTCAGTATGTAGTGTCGAATTATTATGTCGAATTGGGTCTTGTGTTAAGGATCTAATTGTTTAGGTTAGCTTGTTATTTAAGTTATCTTGTAGTTTATAAATAAGTTAGATGATTCAGGTTATTGAGTGAGAGCAATTGTGTTATTTACTTGTAATCATTTGTAACATTGATTAAGTGAGTAGAAAACAATTTGCTCAAATCCTTCTTCCATCTTTCTTCTTTATCTTTTTCTTCTTTCTCTCTTTGGAAACACAAACGTCTCATTGTTCATCAAGAAACTTCGTTTCTCATTCAAGAAAGTGTTGAAATGTATCGTTTGTGATCACAACAAACTGATGCGATGAACGTGCAGAAGATGACGTCAACAAAGTTTGAAATTGAGAAGATCACCGGAGTTAATGATTTTGGTTTATGGCGCTTGAAGATGCGAGCCCTTATTGTTCAATAGGGTTTGCTAGAAGCGTTAAAGGGAGAAGATGTCATGGTTGCTGCATTAACGGAGAAGGATAAGACAATGATGATCGAGAAATCCCACGGTACAATTGTTCTGAATCTTGGTGATAAGGTTCTCAGGCAGGTTTCGAAGGAGACGAAGGCAGCTGGTGTTTGGCTGAAACTCGAAGAATTGTATATGACAAAGTCCTTGGTGAATCGTTTGTACTTAAAGCAAACTTTGTATTCATTCAAGATGAATAAAGATAAAGTGTTGACAGAGCAGTTGGATATGTTCAGCAAACTGATTCTTGATTTTGAAAATATTGATGTTACCATCAATAACGAAGATCAAAAGTTGTTATTGTTGTGTTCTTTACTTAAGTCGCATGCTCACTTCAAAGAAACCATCTTGTATGGAAGAGAGTCTCTGTCCTTTGAAGAAGTTCAAGCAGCCTTGTATTCGAAGGATTTGAATGAAAGAAAGAAGCGGAAACCATCATCATCAGTTGGCAAAAGATTGTCTGTGAAGGGGAAATTCTCGAAGAGAGATGGTAGGTTTGAGAAAAAGAAATGTAAAACTCAACAGAACTTTCACGATGGTGATATTTCTGGTATTAAATGTTATCACTGTAAGAAGGAGAGTCACACAAGAAAGATGTGCCCCGGACGCCTGAATAATCATGGAGTTAAGGACAGTGGCAATGTAGCTATTGTGCAAGATAATTATGAATAATTTGATGTCCTTATGGTGTTGAGTAGCAACTCTTGCAAAGAGTGGATTATGGATTCAGGATGTACTTGGCATATGACTCCAAACAAGAACGTGTTTGAAGAATTATGTGATCAAGATGGTGGATCAGTGCTGTTGGGAAATAATAAAGCTTACAAGATTACAGGTATTGGATCTGTGAGATTCAAGCTCCATGATGAGTCAATAAAGCTATTGATTGGTATTAGGTATGTACCTGGCCTTAAGAGAAATTTGATTTCTCTTGGCGAATTCGACAAGAAATGATATGTCTTTAAAGGAGAGCAAAGTATCCTGAAAGTCATGAAGGGGTCGAAGGAAGTCTTGAGAGGCGTGAAGAAATAAGGCTTGTATACCCTTGAGGCTAAGGTTGTAAATGGTTTAGCAGATTTTGCATCCACGCAACCAGTGTCGAAGACAGAATTATGACACATGAGATTTGGCCATGTCAGCGAAAGAGGCCTGGTCGAATTGGGGAAATAGAAACTGTTAGGTGGTGACAAAGTCGAGAAGTTGGAGTTTTGTGAACCTTGTGTATTTGGAAAATCCTGTAAAGTGAAGTTTAACAAAGGTAAACAAAGAATACATGGATCCCTTGATTACTTTCATGCTGATGTTTGGGGGCCTGCAAGGAATCCTTCACATCAGGTGCAAGGTATTTTCTATCCATAGTTGATGACTATTCCGGAAAATTATGGGTATTCATTCAGAAGACTAAGGATGAAACTTTTGAGAATTTCAAAAGTTGGAAGGTTATAGTTGAAACTCAAACTAGAAGAAAGGTTAAGAGGTTGAGAACCGATAATGGCCTTTGAAGGTGAGAAAATTACTTAGAAGGGGGGTTGAATAAGTATGACAAATAATCAAAGATACAAACACAGTTATTTTTATCCTGGTTTGTTGAACTCAACTACTCCAGTCCATCCTCTCAAGAGTGATTTGCCTTTCTCAGTCAAGGACTTAATCCACTATTTAATCAAACAGATTACAATAGTAACACCTAAGAACAACTGTTCTTAGTCTTCTCAAGAGCTACTGATCCCAACTGGATCCTCTTAAGGAAAACCTTTTACAAACAATGTAAAACTATTACAAGAGTAAGAATGCTTCTAAGAAGCTGTTATCACAACTGTGATATTTCTCTTAAGTTTAAGAACAAAGTTACAGCAAATAAAATATAAGAGCTTTGAGAGATTTGCTTTGATGAGTGATTTTCGCAAGTAGTTCGATACTGAAGAAGATGGAGTGGACTTCTTTATATAGGCACTTAGATCCATGAAGTCTTCTCAACGTTGAAGGCTGTGCTGAAAAGCCTGGAGCCTTTTGTCTTTACATTGGAGGCTGTGCTGAAAAAGCCTGATGCCTTTTGTCTTCACTTTGCAGAAACTTTCCTTAGAATGGAATGCACAGATAAAACCTTTTTGTCTATGTTCTTGTGTCTAGCACAAAAGAGGAAAGAGCTGTTGAGATATGCCAACGTACATATTCAAATCTTCTTCACTAAATAAGTTCAGCTATCAACATTAGAGTCTGAATCTTCAGAATCTCCAAAGTAGAGATCTTCTGGATCTTCAGAGTCTTGGGATGTTCTTCAGATTGTGCTGAATCAAAGTATGTGCAGCTTGTGTGCTTGAGCGTGTAATTCTATCAGAGCAGAGTCTTCTATATCAGATTCTCAATACTTAAGCAGCGCAGTATCTTCAGAGTCATCTGATGACTAAGCTTCTGATCTCTCAGAGTCTTCTATTCTTTAGAGGCTCCTGCTTCAGAATCTTCAGTAGACAGCATTCAGATTCTTCTGGTAGCAGCGTTCAGATCTTCATTTAAGATGCTCTTGAACCTTTGAAGCCTTTCATAATATCATTGTTCAGATTCAAATTTGCTCTTTTAAGAATATTTTCTTTAGTACCTGTAGCAAACAGTCTAGAAAAAATTTAGAGTATATAATTCTTGAATACAAAATTCATAAGTGTTATCATCAAAACATAGAGATATAACTAAGAAACAATCTGTGTTCTTACAATCTCCCCCTTTTTGATGATGACAAAACATGATAAATTTTGTTCAATAAAAAGTATGAATTATAACTCCCCCTGAGATTAACAATCTCCCCCTGAAATGAATACTCTAATAAAAGAAAACACTTCCCTTTTTGATTAAGTATATTTCAGATTCAGAGTCTGATGAAAGAGGTTTGACTTTCAGAATCAAATCTTGATGCCAGATAATTATGACTTCCTTCAGTCAGAGCGCCTGGTTATCATCTTGCTTGAATTATCTTTCAGAGTAAAGGTATCAGAGTAAGATATCAGAGTTGATTGAATACTCAGATTTTCTTTGGAAGATCAGGTTCTGGTTGGAAAAGTCTCAGGGTAACTTCAATGAATTATGTCAGATATATCAATGTAATCTGAAAGACTTAAATTCAAAGTAAGTTAATAAAATGTCTGAATTTCAGTTTTAGTAATTGCTTATAGGTTGAACACTCATATTCTCTTTTTCTCCCCCTTTTTGTCATAATCAAAAAGATTTTTAAAGACAGAAAGATACAGAAGAAAAGAAGCATATAGAAGCAAAAACATCAACATGCAATTAAACATACCAAAGTTCACAGTCAAATAGGCAGAAGCCAAAACGCATAACACAACAAAAAGAAAACAACAAAAGCAGTAACATGTGCAAAAACGACAAATAAAACTAAGTCTGGCGAGAGGCAATAAGGGTCAGAAGCTCTGTCATTTTGGCAGTTGACTCTTCTTGCTTAGACATCCAGGTCTTGATCT